TTATACTATAAGTTATAATTTCTTGTATAGCTTATTGTTCTTGCCTTTAACTTTATTAATAAGGCAAGATTTAAAGATATAGCCCTGGTGAATAAAAGGATTATATATAATAATCTTAAACACGCTGCGGTTAATAAGGCCTTAGATCTTGCTCTTACCTAACTATTTAAAGGGCTTACTAGGTGTAGTAATAATGCCTTAGTTACATAGTTATTACGTAAGTGCCAGGTCTACTTCCTCTTTAGCTAAGAGGAAGGCGCTAGAGGGTTTATTTGTTTTCTGTAGTAGTATGTTAACTAGGGTCTTATGCGGTCGCCCATAGGTACACTGTAGAGGAGGAGAGGTTACTATTTAGACAGGTTTTCTTATTCTTATAGTAACAACAATGGTATCCTCTACGCGTTTGCTAGTGTGGTCAGCATCCGCGGGTTAGTTAAGTTAAGGATTTGCGTTAGTAGGCTTGTCTACTTCCTTCTTAGCGTAGTAGGGTTTAACTAAGGTAGAATAGAAGTTGCGTAGGCTGTTAATATTAATAGTGTAATCCTTACTGTTAATAGATAGTAGGCAGTATAGGCTAGACTATTTACTCTTCTTGCGCTATACTTATACCTTGCTGCCTAACGGCAGGTCCTTGACAGCAGAGGTATCTAGGCTATTATGTACCTTAAGTGCCTTATAAACTTAGCGCGTTGTATGGCTCTTGTAGAGGTCATTAGTAGCCTTCTGGATAGCAGCTGCCTATTAGATAATGTTAGGTGAAGGGGTAGAGTTAGTAGTTATACAGGGGTAAGCACTAAATACTAAGAGGGTTAGCACAAGGCTATTAGGGCCTATGGTGTTATTAACTGCCTTGACTATGCTCTAAAGGATAGATTCTTAGTTAGTAGTTAGGTACTCCTTGTGTATAATTTTATAGGCCTATTAGAGCACTGCGTGGTATTATTTAACCTTTTTAATGCTGTGGTGCACCTTAATAGGGATAATCTTGACTTTGACGCCTATTGCGTGGGCTTTATGTAAAAATTTAGTTATAGTGAAGTTCCTGCCTACGTTAGTGATAATCTAGTCTAGAGGTCCTTAGTAGACGTTAATCTAGTAGTAACAAAGTGCCTCCTACGTAGTCTTTGTAGAAATATTATAAAGAAAGTATGCTACGTTAAAGGCAGTTGTAGTATTAACAACGTAAAGAACTAGTTAGTTGCCTTTAAGGTATATAACGTTAATAATAACCTTGTAGTTAAAAGAGTAGTTGTTGCATAGGGTAAATTTAAATTATAAAGGTGCCTTCCTGTAGAGCTAGTAGTAATAGTAGTATTTAGTTAAGTGCTTAATGGCCTTGACCTTAACCTTATAACTAGCCTTGTAAAGGACTTTGTAAAGACAGTAGACTAATAGGTACTTAAATTATTAGTAAAGTCGTTATAACTTTATGTTAGTTAAGTAGTAACTAGTAAGGCTATATTTAGGTAGGCTAAGGAGCATCTATAGATGCCCTTATTTTTGTATAACTAGTACTATAATGTTACCTTATTAAAGAGTATTTATAAGGTTATTAAAGTAAATAAGTAGTTAATCTATATTTACTAGGTAGAGCAAGAAGGGTATATTTATAGGCATTATATAAAAGGTAATAGGCCTAAATAGTGTACTAACTGTAACAGTGCCCTTTAAGTAAATAGTGTTGCTGCTGCTGAACTGGATCTTCACTTGGCTAGTGGTGGCAGTGTTAATAGTTGCTAACGGTTAGATCTGTTGTAATGCAGTTGCTTATAGGTAACTAGTAGTAGAGAAGGTCACTGCGCCTATATTAGGCAAAATGCCTTAAAAGGTGCCTAATAAGTAATAATCTAATATAAAAGAGGTGGCCAGATCTAATAATACTACACTAGGGTCATTCTTTGTTAACTAGTAATAGATAGCTTAGTTAGCTAGGCTAAAGGTAAGCTTGTTACTGCTAAAGGTGGCGCTGCTAAAGAATATAGTAGAGGTGTAAAAGGTATTGTCTTCTGGTTTGTCTTTACTGCTTTTAAGAGCATAGTTGCCTTAAAGGTAGTAACTAAGGTCCTTGTTGTCTTTATTACCTTTTTCTTCTTGTAGGTAACTGCCTTTGTAGCTAGTAAGAAAGGTTTAATATGCGGTTAGTAAAGAGTCTTTTACCTAGCGGTTGTTTTTAAATTATTAATATGCCTTGTGTTACTTATTAGTAGTGTGTTTTATTAACTAGTAACTAGGCTTATAGTAGATGTAGTACTTCTTGGTATTATGGTTGCTGTTGTTGTTACTATAATAGTTGCTATTACTATGGTTGTTACTAAACCGCTAGTTGCGCCCTTGGCTGCAGTAAGTGTAGTTAACCTAGTATTAATTATTAAGGTCTACCTAGTACTAGCTGACCTTGTTGTTATGTTTTATTATAGTACTTACTAATAACTGTAGTTAGTTATAGACTTCTTCTAATGTAGGCGCTAGATTAAATAGGTATAATTTGCACTTGTGAACTCTAGAGCAAGTATTTAATAGCTAGGATTAAAGGACTTTATTATTGTGGTAGCTGTTAGGTAGCGCTTGTTAGATAAGAGTAAGTTTGTTAACAAGCTTCTTAAGCACTTTAAGCTTGCTCTTTTTAGGGTTGTTATATGTGACGCGGTGAAAGGTGGTATCTTGCTACTTGGTGAGGTACGTCTGAATAGCCTTAGGGCTCTTGAAGTAAGCTCTTATTTAGGTAACTATGGTAGTAAGGTCTTAGATGTTCCTGCTGCTAATTTAGGTAAGATAAAAGGTAAGAGCCTTGCCTTTAAGTATTAATGAGAAGGCTAATGCTATTTAGTGTCTCTTGATGCTAATTTTACTATAGTTATTGTAGAATAAGTTTAACTTAACGTTAAGTACGTTATATATCTTGCTAGTATACTTAGATTTATTAGTAATAATCTTAGTCAAGGTGCCTAATTACTGAGGAGAAGGATAGTTACTGATGGCGTTGCTCTTGATTAGTGGTGGCTATCCTGTTCCTTGGGGTTCTATAGGATTAGTGTATAAGTAAGTAAAGGGTTCCTACTGTAATTAATAATAGGCAGAGAAGGATAATAGACTATTACCTTGTTAAGATAGTCCCTGTGTTGTGTTATATAGAGGAAGTAGTAAATCTTGTATAGATTAAGTCTACTATAGTAATGCTAGGGTTTACTGCTCTTACTGCTGTAACTTCTGCACTTATTTGTTAAGTTAGGCCTATATTATTGCTAGTTATTGCTTAAGGTTTATAAATATTACTAGGCTTTGTTTAGTTATATAGGTAATAGGCTACTGTTGCTGTTTTTACTTATGCTGCTCTAGGCTAATATAACTGCGTTAGATGTTATTTAGGAAGCTATTGTATATTTTAATAAGCCTATTAAATATTACTAACTTATACTATACCTTCTTAACTTCTTTATTTGTCTAAACGCAAAACTTGTTATTATTAATAATAGTAATAAGGTATAAGGTAATTTGTTGATGGTCTTTAGGTATATAGACGCCTTAATTAAGAAGGAAGTCGTAAAAAATTAATAGTAGTGTTTTACTAGTGGCGCTAAAGAGGGCTTTGTCTTATCTATTAAAGTGACATTAAAAGTCCCTCTAGAGCTCATGACCTGTGAGGGCGCGTTTAGCCTATTTAGCTATATGATAGGCAAGGTAGAAGTAAATAGTAGAAGGGTCTTGCTTGTTAAGAAGGATTTCTTGGCTATACTTCTTATAGTTAATGTATCTTGCTATAGAGGTAGGCACCTTGGGGTGCAAGGTACTGCTGGGTTAACTTATTATAAGGTTAGTCGTTAGGGTTGATTAGTAGTAATTGCTGCGCGACTTTTGTAGCGGTGATCAAGTGGTGAGTTTCTTCTTAATGTAACTTATACTTGTAAGTCTAGACAGTGCTGGGTTAGTTTTGCGTGTGTGAGGTGGATGGGGATGGTTTTCTGAAGGGGTAGATGTAAAGATAAAGGGGAAAGTTAAATAAGGTAGTAATTGTTACTACTTAAGCGTCTCTTCTTAATGGCGCTATGGTTAGCGCGGAAGAGATTCTTGCTTATTAAAGAGGTTCTAATAGCGTAATGGACGCTGTGGTGTTTCTTGTGGAGGTAAGGTGGCCTTAATAATACTTAACTTAGTTAGTAGTCTGCTGGGTTGTGGTAGGCCAGGCGAACTCCTGCGATAGTGAGCCTTGTTAATTGCTGGTTGTTAGTGATGATTAACTATTGATTAATGTTGGTTTTTACTGGCTAATTGATGGGATCCTGTATCTTGTGATATCACGAAGGTTGGGAAAAGGTGGTTAAATTTGTGGTTGTTGATAGTTGACTAGTTAACAAGGTAAAGTAGGAGCACAAGTGTAGCAGCACCCTTGCGTATAGGCAAGGGTGGGGGATTCTGCCGGTAGGCGGTGTGTCACGTGACCCACCGCCTCCAGCCGCATCACCCATATGCCAACACATACAGATCCGTTTTTGTTATGTTAGCGGTGAGGAGCGTGCGTGCGTTTATAATATCGTGGGGAGATTTACATGACACTGCTACTCTCTAGTGGGATGTCAGAGGCTGCGATCGTACTGAGTAAAGGAGTGGGTAACCCGGCCCGGCGCGCCCGCCGGCTACCCCGCCAGTGCCGTGCCGCCCCTGCTGTTCCCTGGCCTCTGGTTCCTGGCATCAAGAGTAAAGGGGAGTTCTTTCTAGTTCATAACTAACAGTGAGTTTAATAGAACCTTGAACTTCATATGTTTTGCTAGGAAGCCTTTAGCTGTACTTAACAAGATCAGTTTAGAGAGATCTGCCTGTCGTAGAAGTCAAAGGTTGAGCCGCAATCCGGAGGAGTTAAGTGGTCCCTTGGTCCAGCCTTGTGGAAACTTTATACTATGTAAGAATTGGAAGTATTAAGGTTTCTATTGCGATATCACCCACCGGCCCGACCGGTGGTGAAGTGGAGCCGATCCGACGTCACGTGACCCACATCGGTTGCTCTCCTTCACTACGGCGGTGATATCCACGGCAGTGGCCGCTTTCTCCTTCGTCTTCTTCTTGAAATAATCAATCAATGTTGGTCTGGTCACGTGGCCACGTGGTCACTCCCAGCCAGATACCCAGCTTCTTCACCTTGCCAGCCAGCAGTCCTCTTGCTCTAGCTACACATCACCATCACCAATATCAACGATATTGCCTCACTTCGTTGCTCGCCGTCTCCCACAATCAACAATTTCAGCAACCAATAGTCAATATGCGCTATTTCTGCTATTTGATCGATCGCCTGTGATACCAACAGTTTCTAGTAGACTACACACGTAAGCACTAAGGATGCTTGAGACATGGAAGAAAGAGTGAGAGAAGGTTGAGATGAGAAGTATGCCTAGATGAAGTTTTGTTTCTACCTGAACCATACGAGCTGAAATTTTTCGCCGCGAATGTGGTGAGATTAGCTCTGATATTTGAAAGGTTTGCTTGAACCGTTTACACATAAGGCAGGGCACTCCTGATTAAGTACTGAAACAAACCTTGCTAATAACCACGTGTGCTTGCAGATTACTGGGCGTTTTAACGTTGAGTCACGTCTTGTCACATTCCTTTCGGTATGCTTCAGGCTTAAACTTTATCAGTGAGTTCTCTCCGCCTTTCACTGCGTCATGTAATCAGGATTGGCCGGGACTATTAATGATTTAGAATGGAGCTAGAAAATCCAACCAAAGCTTCCTACAGAATCTTATCCCGTAGGAGTTCTGGCCAATTCTTAAAGGGCAATGTCTAAAATTCCGCCATGAGCGCTGTCCTGCCGTTTGCATGATCAGCCTGAGTAGTAGGCCATTTGCCATTTCAAGCGAGATGCCGATGCCTGGCTAATGAACACCTAGTTTCACGCTCACGTCTCTTATGCGACTGTCTCTCAAGAAACAATGTTCGGGAATATGAGTAGTGTTGGCAACTTCCCCACGCACTACACGGACGAAGGGTTGCCATTCGAAAACCGCAAAGGCACAATTATAGGCGTGATAGTCTCATTTTTGGTGCGAAGACGCGTAAGATTCAATCAACCAGGCTAAATAATGACTTTCTTCCTTAGGTCTTGGCCTGGATTTCCGTTGGTCTGCGAATATATACGAGAGTGTGTATTGTACGAAAGCCCGGTTGGGACGACTTCGTGATCGTGATTGCGCTAGTAGGACCCCTACCCGCGACATCCCATGGTTTATAAACGCTGACTTGATGCTACAGTTGACCGGCTCTACGAGCGCGATTGGACTTTGTTGGAGTAACTATACCCTCAGTATACCTGTTTTTTGACATTTCTGTGGACACGCGGTAGTAACAGAGAGCTAGCTACCAACTACGGCATGGGCCACAGAATGAAAGACGTGCCTGATAGAGATAGAGAGAAATTCTTCTTGGTAAGGTTGACTGCTCCCTTAACCGCAACGATTTAAAAAACATATAGCTCATGCCATGCAGCTATTCTATATTTCTAATGCGTCATTTTCCATGTCCAATGCCCTAACAAAACTTTCAATGATTTTACAATACCTAAGAGTATTTAAAGATCGCATGCCAAGCCTGAAAATTATATCCAAGCTCTTGATGGTTGTTGTTTTGGCGTGGGGCATTGGCTTTACTTTCATGGCGTGGTTTCCTTGCTTTCCGCCATACCACTTCTACACACTAGGGTCAGAATCAAGCTGCTACGGATACGGTTCCACTAACCCTGTAGAGATTTATAACGTCGTTGTCGCATCCAATGGAACGAACATGGCACTGGACCTATTGATCCTCATAGTGCCTATACCCCTACTATTCAGCAAGAAGACCATCAGCCGAACAAGGAAAGGGCTGTTTGGTTTATTTTTCATTGGAATACTGTATGAGAATCCAAAAAGCCTCAGTTTTCCAGCGTGTTGCTTCGCCGATTGACTGACGATTCAACGTTCAGAATCAATTTAATCGCTGCATGGCGTATCGTGGCCAACAAGGCGACATCGGACAAAGGCGCAGATCCAATGTGGATCTTCCCACCCATAATACTCCTGGGAGAGACGGAAAACCGACTATCACTAGCTTTGGCATCGATCCCAGTATTCTGGCCCGTGGTCACTAAAACTTGGCAAACCCTGGTCATCGTTGTCACGCACGAGGTCAACGTCGAGAGCACGCAGCAGCCTCCGGACGTAAGGGAAATGAACAGAATCACCCTGGAATATGGCAATGTCCAAGCAAACCGCGTGGTTACAGAGGATGAGGTAGACGAGGCCGGACTGAGACACACGGGGCGACTATTCGACGCAAGCGGGTACAAGAGGAGGCTGATAAGCCCCTTTGTGGAGTCTGAAAGCAAGGGACAGTACCCCAGCAGCACCCAGGTGATGTCTTTGGATTAGGAAGCAGTTGGACAGAATTTCTTACGGCGGCAAAATAGCCAATAAAGAAAGTCCTTGTTTGTTTTTACGAGAAGTATTCTAGCAGACTATGAGGGCTTACTGCAAAAGCGAGGTAGTGGCCTCTACGTGTTGCCGTTGACTAGTCGTGCTTCTATCGATTGCCGCAGTGGTTGATAGGTGAGAGGTGGTGTATAAGAAAGAAAAGAAAATCAAAGGAAGGCAAATAAGATAATTCTGAAATCGTTCCATACGCTTTCCCAGCCCATACCATCTTTCGCTTGATGGAGGCAATGGGCAGCTAAGCCTACATTCCTAGTGTCAAAAGCAGCCACGCTCCTAGTTATGTTCTTCGTCAAACCCGCCTATAGTTTCCCAGCTGTCATAAAGATGATTATGAAGCAGAGGACGAAGTCAAGAGTGGACATGATTTCCCGTGTCGCACTTGACGTTCTCGAACATGTGAAGCTAGCCTACTTGTTAATAGAAACAGTTCAGCCTCCTGTAGGTCTGGGTATTCTTCGTACTATATGACTTCGAATCTGGTATAATGAACGGTGATCACTGAAGATTAGAGTGTGGTCGACATGGAAGTAAGTGGTGAGCCCATCCCTCTTTCCACGGCTTCATGGGCCGGTATCAATTGACATTGTGCTGCCATCGGTGTTAACGCGGTAAATTCAAACAGTGCGGTCGAGATGGGAGATGTTGGCCTCGCACAAGCATACGTGTCGCTTTGGGCACGCCAAAGACGAATACACTGCTAAGCTTTCGAGAAGTGTAACCGGCGTGTTGATAAATAACCACGAGCCCTGATGTTCCACCCCCGGACACAATTCGCTTCGTCATACACCGCGAACTGCATGCGTATCGATACATGTTGCTGACACTTAATAACGGTAAGAGCAGTCTGCTGTACACACACACACACACACACGCCAGAAAATAGAAAGACCACAATGTCCTACGTGATGAAGCTTGCAAAACGTCGGACTTGGTTGCACATTCAAGTTTCGACCCAGACACACAGCCAGGCCACAAGCAGGACTGCATCCCGTCGGCCTCCCCGCGCGACGACACGGGGCCACGTTTGCTACACTGGACGCATGTGCTTATCCGTCAGAACTCACGGCACCGGTGGCAGATGGCGCCATCAGCAATCAACCGTAAAGGAGGAATCAACGGATGAATCGAACCGTGCCCGTACCATCACAGCAATCGCATCATTGGCCATTTTCACGCCTCTCCCTCCAATGAAAAGCCCAAGGCTTGCCAGGGGTATCCCACCATCACTGCATGCTTTAACGAATGAAGAACAGAAGTCCATCACTGCATGCTTCAACGAATGAAGAACAAAAGTTCCTGTCCATCCATCAACCATTGCGGGCCGACGATCCCTGGGAGGGGAGGCGCGAGCTGGCGTGTCGGACGTACGTTGACAAGTCGAGTAGATTGCCGGATAATCCCGAGACAGCCCAGCACCAGTGCGAAATCGCGGTCGCGTCACCCTCCCCCCTCCCTGCCCGTCTCCCGCCCAATCGGCACCTGCACAAGGTCTTCTTCCGTTCCGTCGTTGACCTCGCCCGTCCTCGCCGCGTGGTCGAACAGCCCGAGTGCGGGTATTTTCCCTGCCGAGGAAAGGGCGTGGATCGGCGCAGGGCTTGGCAACTCAAACTGGGAATGACAAGGGCCGCGAGTCAGCTATACATGGATCTCAGATGCACAGCCCCAGTATACGGACACACAGAGTCAAACTGTGGCCTAACTTTGAACCACTGACTGTACTATGTATAATCCCCTGGGAAATGCTTGTAACTATGTGGTTAGAAACCTTAGTATATTATACGACTATACGGAGATTACCGACCATGCTTACTTTATAATTTCAATGATACACATACTATGTAGAAATATCTCACCTATTAAGCGCAATTTTGCGATCATTCTAAACAGGTCTGGATTATTATAAATCTTGTCCAAATCCCTCGAGCGTCGTCTGGATCTCACTCATCTTCCACATCTCTCAATCTCAATCTGCCATTCGTTTACAACCTGCCATTCGTTTGCAACCTGCCATTCGTTTACACCTCGAGTAATCACATCAAGAAACCATGCATCGCTCTGCAATCTCTGTAGCTTTAGCTTACCTCGCCACCGGTTCGCTTGCAGCAGTAGCAGGTCGTCAACTTCTCCCTCGCGACAACGATTGCGGCGGCCTTAGCAATGTACCCCTTAGTTCCGACCCTGAACACTCTAGCTACACCTTCTTTTTTGATCCATCCGTTAAACAGGTGGTTGACGACTTGAATAAATCATCTGGGAGCACTTTCAACACGGTATTGGTAAACCAATATTGCAATAAACTTAACGGCAATGGTATGTATACAGGTGCAGCTTACAAGATTAGACCACAACTGACCTGTGACACAACTAGGTTACGAGTCTCACAATGTGGCGTTCACCAATATCACACAGTTCGGACCAGATTCTAAATACACGGTTGCGACTGATAAGTGTGAGGAGGGAGAGAGCCGCTCACCTCAAGGCTACTATGTAAACTTGTGCGTTGGCGATGGTACTCAATGCACAAAGAATTATCCATGGGCTGTATGCGGCACGCCGGGTGTCGCGGGTGACACGAGGTTGTTCTGCCCAGCTGCAGAACCTTCAGGGGGTAACCCCAAGGCCGTCAGCCTCGACGACCCAACGGCTTGGAACTGCAAACTCTGCACTACGATAAGTAAATATTGCCAATGGTCTTAGTCTGTTGCCAAAGACCGGCATGGCTGAGCACCATCGGGAGATAAGGAGGCGACGCCAACGCATTGCTGGCCTGCTGATGCGTTACACATAAAAAGGAGTTAGAGAACCAGATTCGTATTCTCTTAGACAAACAAGCTTGCCTGGTAAAGGCACATTCCAAGACTATTTTCTGGGGAAACCCGCCGCCGGTGACCGTTCATCCTGATGCCGATAGTGGCCCTTTTATACAACAGTGTTAGCTCATTTTTCCCTTTCCCGGAGACTTCAGGTCGAAGCGGGCCGTGTCGTCCATCGAGAGGAACCAGGTCGCCAAAGATACGACGTCGGTTGACATCAAAGTCAGCAGCTCTCTCGGGCCGAAAACAACAACAAGTAGTCTTCGTCTGGCCATCGGTGAAGTGAATGACCAAGAGCAAAGACCCAGAGGAGATACTACCTTGTGGCATATGAATCTACAAAATATCACAAGACTCGTTCTTCAAGTATCCCCCGATGATGACATAAAAGACGAAGCGGCGGCCTTGGCAGCCAAGAATAGTGTACAGTAATTATCGAGCCGATACCCCTGTCCGACACCGGCATCTTCCTCCGCGTCAAACGGGATTGTACAGTGCGTTCTGATTCTCTGCACGTGTAGCCGCGATAGCCTCTAGCCGGGAGTTCAGCCGGGGAAGTTTAGTCCTCGCCGACGGCGCGCAGACCGGGAAAGCTCAGCACCGCTCGGCGATTGGTTTCGAAGAAGGACAAAAGCTAATCCTCCAACTAGCAACTCTAAGCTATCTATTCGATCTACTGCGTGTCATCTAATGTCGCCGCACTTTTCGCCCGTGCCCCCCCCCCCTCCCCCCCCCGCACACCCCGGTCACACCCATCTCTCCCTTCCGCTCACAGCCCACACCATGCAAGAAAAGACAACGCACGCAGATCGGCCGAAAGATAAACCCAGTCAGCTGATGTTCCCGATATCCCCCCACTTCTCCGCCCGCATGGATTAACCTCCCTCGTCTCGGCGGGTGGGGTGAGGGGGGTGGAAGGCTTCCTCCGGCGTTCTCTAGCTTCTTCCAATCCAACTCACAGCCAAAGCCCCCCCTCACATCACACTACGCGGGTAACGTATCGCATATCAAGTGTGCACAGGTGCTCTGGAAGGTGTTTAAACCACTCGTCACCACAAGAGCGGAGACACGATCGAAGTGGAGAGGGATGTTTTGCGAGACTCTCGCGCAGATCCCGGGAATCAAGCATTTCGATTTCGTCACTATCATATCTTATCGAAGAGAAAACACACACACAAGACCAATACTACTCGCAAAAGAACCACGAGAAAGAGAGAGCGAAAACCAAGCAAAAGAAGGTCAGTCCTTTCTTTCCCTTACATGAGCTTCCCGCTCGACCCGGTTCGAATATCCTCCAAACCCTACTCTTCCACCCGGAAAATGAAAATTAGACCGACGATCCAATTGTCTCTCGACTGGAGGGCACACAGCTCGTAGTTGTTGGGGTTTTCTTTTTCTTTCTTTTCTTGTCCTTTGGCGAGCGAGCCTCTTTATTCCGGGGTCGTCAGGTACGAACGGGGCGGGAAGCCTTCATGTTGGATTTAGTGCTGCAAAAAGAAACAAAAAAAAGCGCAAAGAGTCAGCTAAACTGTCTTGGGGAGTGGGTTCTCGGAGGAGGAAGTTGAGCTTCCGGAGGGAGGAGATTCAACATACGGAGCAAGAGCCGCAAGAGCAGGAGCTGCAAGAGCCGGCGCAGCTGGAGCCGCAAGAGGAGCAAGAGCTATTTTTTGGAAAGAATCAAAACGATTAGTCTCGAGGTGAACCTTTCCAAGATGTCCGCTCTACAGCTACGGGCGAAAAAAGCTGTATGGGACGACGCTTGTTTTCGGCACTCACCAGGGGGCCATTTTGAGAGTTTGTTGGGTTAAGCGAAAAAGTGCTTGAGTGTTTGTTTGTGAAGATATGGAGATTTGAAAGCTGATGAGTCGGATGAAGAGAGAGAAGGTGTAAACAAAAAGACTCGAATCGATCTGTGATATCCTACGGTTTATATAGCTGTCGTTCAACGCATTTAACCCAACCCTCCCTCCCCTCACCACCCCCACGTATCAGTCAGCTGGACCATCAGGCAGCTATCCGGCGAAGCGCCATTTCATTCGCGATCACAGGGAAAACGGGCGCGGGCGGGAGAGGAAGCGTGCATTGCTCATCTTGGTAGGGTCAGCCGCACACACAAGCAGACGACGAATACCGTGCGGCGGAGGAAGGGGGGACCTGGTTGGTGTGGAGAGATAGGTCTGACATGGCTCGTTGTGTGATGCCACAATCAGGCTAACACTTCCCGCCAATGCTTTGATCCATGCCAGCTAGTTCTCTCGAAGAAGGTGGGAAATAGGGATCCGTTACCAACCGTGGTTTGGAATAGTTTGGAACCAAATCCACGGGTTCCAGAGCTGTGTGGTGGGTGGTACAAGCTTGGAGAGCGGTTGGATAGAAAGGATGGGCAGGATGCCACGTTCGGGCTTGGGCCCACCCGTCGACGGGGAGCCGGGCTGTCGTGATTGGATCAGGAGGAGCGGGCTAATGAGACATCTTACCTGTAAGGAATATCCCATACTCACGGCGTTACGGCAGGGCGGCGGACAGGGTGGAGTTCGCATGAGAGTCCGTGGTCGCGTGAATGGCATGTCGAGGACGAGCTTGGAGTGATCGTCAATAGCGACTGGACGACAAGTGTCCGATAGGTGTCGCGCCGCCCCATCGTCGGTCAGATATTCGGTCCTAGATGGGCGTGAGGGGTTGTACTCGGGACGGGCTGGATCCTGGGCTGTCAAATGAGCGGGGGGGCTGGGTTTTGGTGGTCGACAAGCCTCGGGAGTGAGTGGAAGACTCCCAAGTGGACTGCTCCAGATGGAGGAAACCCGACAGCGGCGCTTCCCCTCGTGGTTGGATGCGTGTGGCGTGTGTCTGTTGGCGTCCGCGTGACAACGTGGGTAACGTAGTACGACTGAGGGAAAATCTGCTTATGATGCTTCCTGGCAGCGGCACCCGCGCGAAAGCAGACTTTGCGCCATCCCACACCTATGATTCCCAGGTGATGCGGCCCCCAGCCATCCCGCATTGGCTAGAGTCGGGACTAATAAATAGTTGGACCAACTGGGATCCGTCTGCTTACTAGGCAGTATCGGCCAAAAGGTGGGCAAGCTTAGACACACATGATGAGCAAACAGAAGGATTTACCGTGTCAAATGATTGAACCACGCCGGATGGCCTTGCCATCCGCCGTCACGGAGTAAGAAACAAGAGTTGAGAATCAACTGAAAAACAAAACAAGGCTCTTTGAGAAGACGAAGCCAACGCAGAGGTGGAGTCTCACTAGTTTGAGACTGTAGGCGAGCCCCCCATCTCTGCCTCGGCTCCAAGGAACCTTGCGGGCGGTCAGAATCCCGGTCAATCCCTCTGGGACGTTTTGTGAACAAACAGGAAGAGATACTGTTAGCTAAGAGGCATCGGATGTCCAATCATCGAGAACGGCCGGCGGCGACGCTCGATAAACTCGTGTGGGAGTCGGCTTGCCCAATCAACCAGTACCTAGCTGGCCCGAAGGTAAGAGGAGAGAACCGAGAACCGAGAGAACCGAGAGAAAGGAGAGAGAGAGAGAGAGAGAGAACAGAGAGAGATAACGAAGAGAGATTGTGATTCATTACCGTGGGGGCAGGGTTTCTCGCAGTCTGCCTAGCCGAGGGCCGCTTCCCGAAAGAGATGAATCCTCTCAGACACTGGGAGGGACGAGTAGCAGAGCCAGGCTCATACTGTGTGTATGTATATGTGTGTGTGTGTGTGTGTGTCGGGTTCTTCTCTCGCCTCTCAGTCTCTGCAACTCGAACCTCTCTTCTACACCCTTCGGTCGGTCGGTCAACATCGATGCCCGGATCGGTCAACTCGAACTCATCGGTCGTGTCCGAACGATGGAGATGGCAAAGAGGTCAAGAGTTAGGAAATGGCAGACCAGGGAGAGGACGGCCGTCTTTATATGTGCTCACTCACCCAGCAGCTCCGTTCTTCGGGGGACCACCTGGGACTGGTAGACGCAGCGCTGGCAAGAGAAAAAAAAAAGAAATTGTCTAATCACAATCAAGGCGGTCTATCAACCTCCGTGCGCCCGTCGTCGATGCCGGGTCCTGCCGCCTGACTTGGGCTGTGAATGCGCTGGCTATCTTGACCAAGGTCATCATCAGTAGCAGCATTGCTAGCGATGGTTGGCGACAAGGCGATGGCGGGAGATTCTTGGTGTGTGTGAGGATGGGCCATCAAGGTTGGCCATCCGGGTCCTCGAGACATGCCCGATCCGGGTCTTAGCGATGCAGGCAAAGGCCATCAGGGTTCTCGAGTCTTGGTCGTAACCAGTCTGGCAGCTTCGCGCTGTGTGCCGGCCCTCTTCCTGTTTAAAGGGCGAAAGAGATGCTTCCTCCCCATGCAGGTAGTATACGGTGCTGCGTCGAAGGATTGTTCTTCCGGCAATCAGCCGTGAGGATTGCGGTTGTGTCGAAATGGGGAAGCGGCCCAGTTTGAGACAGCTGAAAGTTCCAATACAGCCAAATATCAGTCTATCCGCGCAGCTCTCTCAGCTGATAGTCGATTGAAACAAAGCCTCGGTCATCGAAACCTGGACGGAAATATCGACTTCATCTTTCCAAATTGTTGAAGGCGACACCCCGTTTCCCCTGGTCCGAGCCGGCGCAGGAAAGTGGCCCAAGGTCAAGGCTGACCAAGACTGACCTCGACTGTACAGAAATAGCATCTGGGATCCGAACGGGACGCTCGCCGGCGAGGCAGGGCTGATGGGCGATAACGACGACAAGCGAACTCTTGTCACTGGGCCCATTCTGGCCCGATGTCCTTCAGGGAGCCGACAACGCCGCGCGGACGGCATCAGAGTCGCGATGTGTCTGTTGGAACACAAGGTTCTGGCGTTATATAACGTCACTCTCGACCGATTGATAGCCGAAAAGCATGCGTTGGTTCCCACTAGACCAGGAAGCCCATGACCGAATGGGAATCCTGATGTTCGCTCAAAGCAAGGGCTCGGAAAAACCGACAATGTCTCCCCAAAACGCCAGGAAATCTTGACAACATTACGTTGCAAGTTGCAGTCCCGTGTTATCATGCCGTGGAAGGACATATCCCGAGCCCCCGTCCAAGACCCGCAGTTGTGCAAACTCCCGGGATAGTCGCGCCAAGGACCCTCATAATGGCGCCATCTGGGGCAAAGCGCCCCCTTCTTCCGAGATCGTGACTCCCGGACCCCAGATCCACAAAGCCCCCTCCATCAATGAAGGCGGTGGGCGGGTTCCTCTAGGCTCATGGTCATGTGCGCGGGCCGTTCCTCTCGCGGTTCGCTCGAGGTTCGCTCCACTGCAGCTTGTCGGCACAATGCAGTTAAAATTG